ATTTAATGAATAACCCAGAAAAATACCCCCATAACTTCTTGGATCGAATTTTCCAACGTTGTCCTTACCGTTATTGTGAATAAAACATGAAAGTAACTGATATTTGGACGTTTACCTTTCCATAATTCATAGGGAGTCTTCTTCAGAATGGGCCTTATGAGATATCGGTTGAGAATGTGAAATGCTGTACTTACACCTTCTGCCTAGAAGTGATGTGACAGTGAATGATCAAGTAACATAGTCCTTGCCATATCTTAAAGGGTTATGTTTTTTCTTTCTACAACCCCATTTTGCTGTGGTGATCGTGGTGCAGAGAAGTTATGTGTATATCCCTGATCATTACAGAAATCTTCAAATGCTCTGCTTTCAAATTCTCCTCCATGGTCACTCTGAATTGTTGAGATCAGATATCCCTTTTCTCTTTCAACCTTTTTGCAGAAAACCTCGAAATTTCTTAATGCTTCATCCTTATGAGATAAGAAAATTACCGAAGTGAAAAGTGAATAATCATCAACAATAACAAAAGCATATCTTTTTCCTCCTATACTAGCAGTTCTAGTAGGCCCAAATAAGTCCATATGAAGCAATTGCAAAGGTTTAGAAGTAGATACAATATCTTTATTTTTGAAAGAGTTTCTGGTCTACTTACCAATTTGACATGCATCACAGATATGAGTTCTAGAGAAATTCAGTTTGGGTAAGCCAACAACTAACTCATGTTTGGACAATTTTTCTATCAAATACATGCTAGCATGACCAAGTTTCCTATGCCATAACCATGGATCATCATACATGGATGATAAGCAAATATGACCATCTATCTTTTCAAGACTATCAAGGATATAAACATTTTCATACCTTTTACCAAGGAGAACTGTTTTACCTGATTCATCTTCAATAGCACAACCTGTTTTCTTAAAGTTTACCTCATATCCTGAGTCGCATAGTTGACTTATGCTCAGGAGATTGTAGTTGAGTCCATCGACGAGATACACTTTAGTGATATCACAGTTGTTATTGAAGGGAATTGTTCCAGTACCAATTATTTTACCTTTTGAGTCATCCCCATATCGATGCCCCCTTTTTCTCGCGAAATCGGGTTTATGACATTTGGGCGGACAACTCTTTTCCTTTTGGGAATTGGGTTTGCAATTTAGAAGAGTCGCCACATAATGATTAAGTGCATTAGGACACTAAGAGGAAGTTTAACTAAAAAAAAAAGAAGAAGAACCAGAGAACGGGTAAGGGCTTGAAATTATCTCGGGGGGAAGGTGTTAGGCACCCCCCAAGATCCACTAGTGTGGTTCCCGGCCATGCTACAATTGTGACTTTAAAATACAAACAACAAGTAAGCAAACAAGATAGCTTTCACACAACGATTGCAAACAACGGAAATATAAAAGTTAAAAGCATGCTGATGTTCGGAAATAGGCGATTTCATGATTATTTAAAAGAAAGGATATACAAGTGCAGAAAACGGGGGGTCAAATAATTGGTGCAAATAATCAAACAAAGGAGTGAAAGAGGCGGAGGTTTGGGGAAGAAACAGTGCTGGAAATCAGCTAATTAAAAGAGATTTTTTTTTTTTTGCAAGTTATTGAAGTAAAAGAAGAAGTTTAAAGAACTGAAAGTTAATAGCTTTTAAAAAATTCTGGAAAAGAAAAAAAAAGAAGTTAAGAAGTAAAGAGGGAGGGGGTCCTAGGTTTATAAATAACATGGATCACCCCACACAACACCCGGTAACCATTTATACACGTGGTGTTATCGCGTGGTCATCATATCCATGTCTACCCTAACCCACCCCGTTAAGGTATTAAATCGCGGAATGGTCTCGTTACTTATTGCATGCTATTACCCGTCCCAATCCTATCAGTCCCGGAGGCAGTTGGGACTACTAATCCTAAAGGGAAGGGAGATTGGCTTTTCAGAGTTTTAAAAGGACAAAAGTCTAATGCGACAAACAAAACACATAAAGCAGTAAAAGGGGAAACACATAGCAGTTAAAGGCTCAAATAGGCCTCCTCATTCAAAGCAACAAATTGTTTAGCATGACTTACAGATACTGGTTAGGTCTTTAATTAAACTTAAACGTTAAGGCGTGGCTTGTTTATCACATATTTTTAGATAAGAAGTCCAAATTAGGCCTGCCTGCTGGTTGTAATTATTAAAGATTGGTATAGTTAATTAATTACCTAATGGTTTGCCTAGGTGAGACCTATAGGCATGATATCTAACAAGGTAAATTATACTGATTTTAAGGAAAGATTACTGATTTTAGAAATAAACCAATTCTGCAGATATTAAACGACATTATTACTGATTTTAGACTTGTAAACGAATCAGATTTAAACGGTTATTCCTATAGGCATGAATTCTAAGCGTTACTGATTTTAAAACGGTTATGTAAGTACAGGAGTCCTATAAGCATGGTGTCTAGGATGTAATTGATTATTTCTTTAACCTATAGACTATTTGCCTAATGACACGTGCATATGCAGAAGTGCAGAAACTTATAGGCATGACTCCTATATGCGGAAATGCAGAAACTTATAGGCAGGATTTCTAATGCAGTAATGAAACAACTTATAGGCAGGATTTCGATATGCAGAAATGAAACAACTTATAGGCAGAATTTCTATATCCAGATGCATAAACTTAGAGACAGGATTTCTAATGCAGTAATGAAACTACTTACAGGCAAGATTTGTATATGCAGATGCATAAACTTATAGACAGGATTTCTAATGCAATAACATAAACGAAAAGGCTGTGATTGCAGAAGTAAATACCTAAAGCATGATGTCTACCCATATGCATAACATGAGTGACCCTCCCCCTTTTTTACTATACACCCCATAAGTTATTACAAGATTATTACAACCAGAATGAATC